TGTTTTTCTGTCAATATGGGGTGCTGTGTGTACATTAATGAGGAAAAAAAATGAACTTAAATGATTTTAGCATATGGCTGCAATATAACAAAGAGTGAAACATTTAAGGGGGTCTGAATACTTTCCGTACCCACTGTATTTTAACTGCAACTGAGGAACTTTATATTGTGCTTCATCAGTATATATGTGCCCTGTATGCAAACATTTTTTTATAACCTTTTATACACCAAACAACACCAACAGTCATGTGGAAATGATGGATCCCACGTGGCCTTTTCACACAAAACTACTGCACAAAGGCAATTGTAATAGCCCAGTAAAACCGCATTAAATACAAGAACTGATTACTATATGATTTATTAAGCTATACAGACATCTTTTATCCTTCATCAGTGAGGTAAAAGTTTGGATAATATAAAAACTGAGAAACAAGATGTGAGCATGTATCATGCTACAAATAATCTCAAGTAAATTTGAACTCTTGGTAAAAGAAAACACTACTAAATGAGTGAGTGTATAACTATTCCCCTCTGTATTTCTCTAACACAAACAAAAGCTGATGTATTGTAGACAGTCTCTTTGGTACATGCTATGGCATGCTGCATGCGATATTTCAACCAAATGAACCAGAGGAAAAAAACTGTACATGTTTAAACAAGTAAATATTGGCATGGAAAGCATTAAGACAGGAGACCCTCACCAACATTCCCCCTTCAATGAGGTATTCAGTCAGCACTGTAAGGATAACAACACAGCAGTAATGCTGCCTCTCAGCGCTGACGAGCTACAGCCATGCATTTTCAATAAAACCTGCATGTTCAGCAGACAAAGGGAAAACCAGAGAAGCAAAGTTGGTTGCTGTTTCTAACCAAGCATTTCAGGAAGAACCACTTAATTTGTTTTCTTGCCAGCGGTCAGTTTGTCATGGTGGAGAGCGAAGGTCTCTGCCACTATCAGAGGGAAAACTAAAGAGGCATCTGCATACACCTGGGAACAAAGAAATGGAGGAGCATATCAGTCTTCTGTCATATTGTGATGTTTATATTATGTTACACACTGACTACACTAAATTGAACCCAGTCCCTGGTTTTCATCTTTGTGTATTGGTGCCTCGATGCCACACCATAGGTTTGAATAAAACGTTGTGCGGACACTGCCACCTTGAGACCAAAGTGCAGATTACAGCTCCTATTGGGCCAACTATTACTCTGCCTCCTCACAATCTGATGTTATAAAATTATTTCCAAACACACTTATTGCCATAAGATGAATTTCAAAGGAAAACAAACATGTCAGACAAAGGATAATGCCATTTTTCATGCTATATACATCAAGCATGTCTGAGATTACATAACACAAAGATGGGGCGGTGTGATTTTTTTTCTTGATACGATTCAATACACAATACGGTGTGTATGACTCAATTCAATCATGATACAATTAAAAATTCAACACTGGTTTGATTATATAAAGAGCAACCAGATGTATCTCATTTACAAAAATATGCAACTGCTGATGTATGGATACCACATTTTACGTTTTGTGAAAATTTTGTATCGTGACATATGGAATTTCAATATACTGTCCAATCCCTAACACAGCTGCATGACAGATCATTTTGTGATCATGATTTAGATCACTGTGCGAGCTCAGTCTCATGTGACAATGATTCTGGCGTTATTTGCATTAGCAAGGAGATGCCTTGCATAAAACTAAGTGCTCCTTTTCCTCACTAAGCTGCGTTAACCAGTAGCAGGACTGCATTACATCACGTGACAAGCTGTAGCTAGGAAAGGAAAACGGATTCAAAAACAAATCCAATGTGGTTGATATAGTGAAAGATATTCTGTGCCCTCATGAAACTATTTTTTCAAACTTTGTGCTGCCTGCCTTATGCACCTAGGAGCAAAAGAAAAAAATCACTTTCTGGTTAGTGGTTGATGCAGCTTGGTGAGGGAAAGATAGTGTTTAGTGTGATTCAAGGGCTCTCACTGCTAATGCAAACACGGCAGAATCATTGTCAAGTCAGACTGAGAGCGCCTCTGCTGGATGATGTCACCATTCGGTGTGGTGAGAGTCAAAATAGCATAGAAGGTCACACACAGCTTCAGTGAGACGCTCAAGCTCATGCACAGTTATAAGGTCTGATAAGACTCATTGAAGAGACTCATGTGAAATCATACAGGAGAGAAACCAGTCAGTTGAGTCTGTGGCACAACCTTTTACATTGCTTACATATTGTCTTTTACTGCATATGATCATTCATACTCAAAAGTAGAACTGAAGTGACATTAATTACAAGATGATTAAAACATTTCAAAATGCACCAGCATTGTTTTGTATTTTGTAACTTTCAGTTCAACAAAAACTATTTTTCCAGTGATATGTTTCATCATTGAAGATTTCTTATAGCGTTAAAATATCGTCTCGATCTCACAAACACAATATCACGTATCATCTTGGTTCATGAGCTAAGTGCATCGTCACACCCCGACCTGGGAATTATATAGAGGTGAAGCAGAAGCAGGAAAGAAATCTCAAAATAACCTCTAATGAAAAGGTATCTGAAGCTCTGACTGCAATAAATGGAACATAGCGTTGACATTAGTCTTAGTCTGATCACGGCTAAAATTTCTGGGATAAATACCAGTACCTTGACAGGACTGGCATCTGTTCTGATCTTGCCCCAGGATACAGCCTCATCAGGTCTGGCCCCAGAGTCAGAGCCATCAAACTCCTGACCTGTGTTCACATAGACTACATAGTCAGCCCCATTCCTCTGGAGGGAAAAGAGCAGAGACGGCGTGTCAACAGTGTCTACACACGGCACAAGTAGTTTTCACAATTTCATACACAACGTTCATGACCAACTGTGGCAAAGTATTCTCCTTTACTCAGGTAAAAATAACAATACTGCAATTTCTAAATACTTTACAAGTGAAAGTCGTGTGTTGAAAGTGTCACTTCACAAAATAAGAAAAACAAATTATCAAAAGTAGTTTTGAAAAGTGAGTTTACTATTATATGTATTAATTAAATGAACAAAGCATAAAAGTGCAAGAGGCAATTTAATTTCACAGATGAAGATAAACTAATTTTATTTAGCTACTGTTGGGTACTTGAAACTCTAATGTGCATATTTTATGTCATATGTTTTATATGTAAAAATCTCAGACTGTGAAGTTACAACTAATTATAGCAGTCAGATAAATGTAATGAGTATAAACACTGCCTGCATAACTGTAGTGGATGAAAAGTTGCATGAAATGAAGTAAATGTACCTATAATTTCATTACACCACAAATGGCCAATTTAATTTCAACACTTGGAGGAATTACATACAAAAACTGATGTGAAGCCACAGGTAGAACATTACCATAAGATTAGCATTGGCTATGTGATGTTTGACCAGCCCTCCTCCCAAGATGATTATTCCCGTCCTTTTGGCAAACACTACGCGGCTGTTCAACCTCCGGATATCTGAAATGAAGTCCAGATTAATGTTATGGCCGACTTCGATAGCTGAGCTCAACTTGTCCTGCACCAGTCATGTTGTTTTCACCTTCCACAATGTCCAAAATCAAGCCAGGGTTCTTGAACGTGTGGAAGTAGATCATGTCGCCCAGAGAGCCATCAGTCAGAGCAGGACTGAACACAGGAATGTTATTCTGAGAATAGAAGGGAACAGCAGATTTACTGACTGATCTATATAGAAAAATATATTGTATGCATTTAAAAAAGTTAATAAGGGCAGAAATCAAAAATGAAGTAAGTCAAAGAATCAACAAAGACACGAGAACCACAGTTCAAATAAAATGACTTGCAACTTACTGTCATTAACTTAGTACTTGACACAAAGTCACTGATCTGATTAAAACCTAAAATGTTTCAAAAGATTAAAACCATGTTTGCTTTTTCTTTTGTGTTTTCTCTTTCTGGTAAAGCACTGTGTAAAATCTTAAAGGTATCTAAAATCTAAAAGGTATTATTTTCCTTTAAGTATAAACCAGCACTCGCCTTGTACGCCCAGTAGCAGACTGAGTCAGTATTATTGATCTCCTTGCCAAGTCGATGGATCATTTTGGAGGGAGTCCAATGGGTACCCTGAAAAAGGACAATATTGTAGACAATAATGAGAGCCACAGCTGAAACATGCCAACTGTGGACAACATTTCTGGATCCAAGGGCATCAGATTCACAATTAGTTTCTGTTGCAGTTTTGGGTGCAATAAACAAATAATGTCCTACTCAGGCATAAAGACTTACCTCTGTGTTCTGCTCCAACAACATCTGGTCCAGAATGGGCATCAGCCAGTCTTCAAACTTACAGTAGTTATTATTGGGCACCAACAAGTTCCCTATTCTACACTCAGTGATGACAGGAGGAGGAGGAGAGTAAGATGAATGAAAAGGGACCAGATGTGATTAGGAAATCTGTCACATAAGCTCAGAACTCTCAGATAAATACCCATCTGTGAAACCCCCGTAACAAATCCTTGGTTGTTTTGAGAACACAGTACATCTGGTGAACAGGCACACCTGAGTAATTCAGCCTGGCCCAAGACAGTACTACTACTGACATTCTAACACTTAAAGGAATAGTCTGACATTTTGGGAAATATGCTCATTTGTTTTCTTGATAAAAGTCAGCACTGAAGAAGGAACACCACTCTGTGTGTACAGGAAATATGAAGCTACAGCTAGCAGCTGATTATCTTAGCTTAGCATAAAGACTAGAGTCAGGGGGAAACAGACTAGGTTATCCAAAAGCTGCCAGACCTGTAAAGATCGCCAATTTAGTGTTTTAAAATGGATTGTGTTCCATTCTATTTCTATTTAATTGTCATTTTTACACTGCAGACCTCACAAGACCAAGCCAAGACAAGTTGCCAACCTGTTGATCCCCCTCAGACGGAGCTCTTTGCCAGGCAAGCTGAAATCTCCCAAGTATGTGTGAGCCAGACACTTGATCAAATCCTCCTCAATGCCTCCGGCTGTGGTAACAATCACATCCACCTATCAGAGTAACAAGACAGACTGATAAAGTGACACAGTGCCCTGGCTGAAACGGTTACCTGATTAGTAACTATGACCTGGGTAATCATGACAGTGTATAAATGTGTACCATTTTGTGCTCTGCCAGGTAGCGGATGGACTCTCTGACTCCAGAGCTGATGAGGTTGGAGGTGTAACCCAGGAAGATGGTGCAGCCAGAGTTGTGGAACGATTCACCAGAATCTTTAAACTTGCTTTCCTCATGTTCTTCCACTGGCTCAAGACGCTTCTCTATCTGTAGGTGTGAAGTCATCAGACGATAACGGTCAACATTACAAAGACACACTGTCACACTAATCATGATCTACTGAAGAAGAAGCAGCAGCTCATTGTAACACTGTGACACATACAACGAAATAGTTGTGTGGAGCCCAAGGGCCCCAGGCTGCTGTGTGCGTACACGCTGTCATCACAGCTTGTCACAGTCAACACTTCGACATGTGGACTGCAGGCACCGAGATTCGAACCTTCAACCTTCCGGTTGGGAGATGGAGCAGTTTAAATGAACTCTGATTACAGTGAGGTGTGTGGGTTATTCTGAGCCACTGTGCGTGGAAAGACACCATGCTGCTATATTTTATTTCTAAGTATTTATTTCACTGCTGTGAGCACCACCAATAAAAGCCCATTCATCTCCATTGTATTGGGGTATAGGAAGACAACTCTGAAACAGATATCTCACAACCTGGGCCAATAAAACCATAAAACTATCTGCAAAGCTACACGGGGTCATTAACTTACACATATCAGGCATTCCTCTCACCATGTGGTTGATTTCCTGTATGGCCATGGCGAAACTAGTAGCCTGGAAGCCTGTGTTGAAGTAGGACTTCAGTACTGCCGGGAGATCAACGCCCTGGTTGAAGTCATAGCCTCTAACCTTCGGCGTGTCCTCAGGTAGTTCGCAGCTGGGCTGGAGGACAGACTGTGCCGCAAGAGAAGAGGCATAGTCCGCCATCTCCTCTGCAAAAGCAAGCAGCACATGTTAGTGGAGTGTTTATCATCAAGATGTCCGATAAACCATGAAAGTAAAAACTTTCTAAATCTGGCATATCATCATCATTATCATATAAACACGACGTTTTGTAATTTAGTTTGGGGTTCTGACAACCATCAGACGTTAGTTATCTTTCTTGTGCGTATTCCAGATGTATCGTTTTAGCTAGGAGACATGCTAACCGTGAGCTGGTTTGTTATGTCGCTCGGCTTTCGACATGATTAACGTCAAACATTAAGACAGAGATGAAAACATGCCTATTTTTACACGAGACGTGTTACGTGGTGAAGTAAACTGTTGTCTCCACAGCAATGAGACGATTAACGAAGTTTCGTTTTCATGTAAACATTTAGTGATGTTAGATGTGACACCCCATTTAGACTAACTAGCGTGTGCTGAGCGGAAGTGCGAGTGAGCCCACTACGGAAGGTGCGAAAGGACAAACCAAACATATTTTTTTTGCGCAAATCCCATCAGTTTCCACTCCAACACATTACTAAAGGACAGTACAAACTCACTAACTTGTGTGGAGTTTATAAAGCTCAGCTGTGGTTAGAGGTGAAACAGGCTTGAAACCTTCAACAAGAGCGAGCAGTAAAACTATGGAGATAAAATCCTATCAAAAAAAAAAAACACGCATTTGTAACATTTTTGATAGGATTTTATCTCCATACAATGAGCAGTTCAAATGATTCCACATACAACTGACTAAGCTTTAACATGTGTGCATGGCATTTTACAAACTCTTACACAGTAAAATCCCTCTGCATAGTAAAACTACAGCTTTCAGCAAAACTGTATGAGGGTGTATGAGAACAATAAATATACCTTCAAACAGTGAACTTATTCAAGTAGCCCATCAGTTCTAAAAACATACACAATTTTTAACTATTACCGGTTCTTTTATCTGAAGGCCCCAAGAAGTAACACTCAGGAAACAGGAATCAGCTTTACATCAGGCGTTTCTCTCTAACTGAAAGTTGTGTCACTTACTTCCCTGATTCTGTTGTAATGAACCCCTTACTCATGCTTCAGACATGGGTGAATAGTTCAAGCCCGTCAGACTTCACATCTGCAAAATAGCATAAATTAACAATATCTTATCTATAGTTTCCAGAACGACACTTATCTATGCAATCTATTCTTGCACAATTTTCCAAGAAGATAAGAAATACTACAAGTTGACTCGAAGCTGAAAATTATAACTATAATGCATGCATAAGAGCCAGGTTAATACTGATACATGGTGCTGTTAATGAAACACAGTCAGTCATACTAAACTCTATCATTATAAAAGCAAAATAATACTAACAGTAAATAAAACAACTCCTAAAATCCAATCCTAACACAATGAACCACATTTATGACACAATACCGGTCCCTGTCTAGGTCTCAACTATGTCCATTATTAATACATTCTTGCAGACACAATGTATAGGCAAACATCATACCTGAATCAGATCATAATGCTTGAGCCAAAGATCTTTTTATCGGCAGGGATGGTGAAGTGATGTGTGATGTTTGTGGCATTTCCAGCACTCTGTTGTATGACCTTTTACATCACAAAGTCTTTGAACTGCCTCAGCAGTGAATAAAAAAAAAGCAATGCACGTCAAAAAGGGACGACAGGAGCTTGTCTGGCCAGACTCTCCTGCACAACCTGAGCTGACTCTCTGAAGCAGCTAAAATACGGCTGATATAACTTTTTTCTGCTGCTGCCTGTGGTGTTGAAGTAGGATTTTTACTAAGTTTTTATGCTGAAGGAAATGTCAGGAAAGATGTGCAGCAGCAGCAACAGCGTTGTTCAGGCACAAAAACTGGTGGATCAACTTCGGGTGGAGGCAAACATGGAGAGAATCAAGGTATGTAAAAAAAAAAAAAAAAAAAATCTTTAAATCTGCTAACATGTATGATGTCTGCACATCGTTATATATCTCAACTGTTCAGTTTAAGATTAGCCGTTTGAAGATTTTTGTAGTTCAGAATATATGGAGTGTAATGACATGCCCCTTTTCTTTAGCAGCCAATGTCCACTGAGTAGTTTACTTTTTTTTTTTTAATGATTACAATATATAAAATCCTGTCAAATGCCATCCTGTCTGCCATTGTCCCAGTAGATCTCCCTGACAGCAGCAGACTTGGTCAAGTACTGTCAGGACCACAGGCGCAGTGACCCTCTGCTCACCGGCATTGCTGCTTCATCCAATCCTTACAAAGACAAGAAGTCTTGTGTGCTGCTTTGACTGTCCTCAAGTACAGATTACCAAAACATAACAGACTACCATATGAACAATTTGTGACTGTGCAACTACCAACTTTTTTCTTTTTTACTGATAAATGTGTACAAGATAAACTTTTTAGTATATTAAATATAACCTGGGTAACTGGACTCAAGTTACATTTTAATCAGAAGAGAGATGCTTACAGCCAATAACAACCTGAAATGCTACAAGTTGACATGATGGCAGTGAACAAATCCAGCCAGTAGCCTAACTCAGACACTAGACTTTCAGGCCATTTAATGGCATTTTCCAATGCGCTTTAACACATGCATCTGTCAAGTACTATGCTAATAAATTATACACACAAATTATTACACAATGATAAAGTTAACCAACACACACAAAGAGGAGATATGCAAACAGACCATACAATGATAACTGTGGTCAAATAAATAGTTATGTAAATACAATCCGCTTGTCACAGAAAACTTGGGACACTGTTTCACTGTTCATGACAAATGCTTTGTGTACACTGTCAGTTACTGTAATGGGTTCAGTCAATTTGTTAGCATGTAAACCGTATATACCCTTTGAATGTCTGTAGTTTTCATGCTATTTAAATGTACATCATTAAAAGAGGTGAGAAAGCTTTGAGTACTGGCATCAAATAAATGAAGGTACAAACATTAGCAATATGCATATTTCCTGTGTGTTGTCCGTTTGTAGAACCAGCAGAATTGAACAACGAATTTAAGAAAACAAAAAGGTTGACAGCTTTTAGCTGAATCAGTACAAGTGTCCTGAACTTTCCCCAACCGTAATAAAATCAACACAAGACAGAAACATTTATTTAAATTGATTAGCATTATAACCTAAACTGGTAGCAATATTTAAAAAAAAAAAAAAAAGTTTTATACTTTAATATTTCTAAAAGTGCAGCAAAATAAAGCAATTAGTTTGGCCATCTGTACCACAAGAGACTCAACTGTCTTCATATCCAGTCCTAACTGTACATGTTCATTTGTTTTTACCTACAACCTCCCTGATGTAGACAGCCTGAAAGGCATTAGATATGTTTTTTTCTTCTTTTTTGGTTTTGTTCACTCTGCATGTTCCAAATTCCAAAATACAGAAAGACCAAAATGGTGTTGATAGGCTTCGTCTCTTCTCCCCACCTGCCTTCAAGTCTTGCCTCATAATTTGCAGGTGTCATTCTTTCATTTTTTTGGGCCTCCAGACTTCCACACACACGCCCCCTGAGGCTACAGCAAGGACTCCAGCATCCACACTCAGCTGATAGTAGGGGAAGAGGTGAGAGGGTCACAGGGAGAAAGAACAAATTTCAGAAATAAGGAGGAGGTCAGGTGAATTCATCTGCAATCTCCATAAAACTGGGAAAACATTCACTTCATTGTTTTCTTTATCTTACAAATTCCCATATAGATGCTGTCTCAGTGAATAACAACATAGCTATATTTGAATTTATCTTAAAAGGGTAAAGCATTTGACATTTTAATTATTTATAAGATGTGCTAAAGGCACTAACCCCGTTGACTCCATCTTGGTGATGCAGTGTGCATAATGTCCTTGGAGGTGCACAAGGGATATGTACCTGCAATGCAGGCAAGAAATACATCAACACTGTACACAGCACTACTTAATACAATAGCAGAGACTGCTAAATAGGAAAAGTAACAAAGAATTTCTCTTCCTCTTTCTACCTTGACAGTACGATCAGAGGAACATGTGTAGAGGCTTCCAGGAGACCTATGTATGCCAGTGACCACAGCTGTGTGTCCCACATCAAACTGGGACAGGGCTTTTAAGGTCCCGGCCTGCATAGAGTAGGAGTGGAGCATGCCTCTGTTGTCTCCTGCCCACACCTCATTGCCACTGTAGCTCATGGACAGCACATAAGAGCTCATCTAAAAATGGACAAATTGTTCGGGGTTAGTTTTGGTCTGAACATCTATGCACACAAACTAAGAAGCCACGTGTGTATGCATCTACCCGAATTTTCTTCAAGCCTTTGCCTGCTCTGCGGTCATAAACAGCCACAGTGCAGTCTTTACTCCCAGAGATGATGTAATTGTCATCTGCAGCTAGGCACATCACAGCATTACCATGGAGATGGAGGCTTTTCACCAGGTGTTCAGCAGATGTAGACAAAATGACCATCTCACTCAGAAACCAAGTGATATGTCATTATAATGTCTATCTAATTGCTAAGATTTAAAAACAAAAGAAACCTGATGAGTGTAAGAGTAATTATTTATGTTGTGTTACTGCTTTATCATCACATTTATAAAATAACTTGAATCTGTAAGCTGTGACACTAAATTGGAATTCAAGTTATACTGTAAGGAAAATCCCTCACCTCGGGGGTCATACATGTTGACTCTCTTGTCAAATGTACCAGCCAACAACACATCTGTCTGACAGGTCAAACAGAGGACAGCAGCCCCAGCTCTGATCACGCCCATCGCTGCGCCACCTGCCTGTAGGTCCCAGAGCCTCACTGTGCTGTCGAAGCCCCCGGACGCCAGCACAGGTCCCTGAGATGCCAGGCACCAGACCCACCCCCGATGGGTGCTGAAGTCACCCTGCGCTCCCAGTGTGTGCAGCAGTGTGCCACTAGGACCTGCCTGTAGATCCCACAGTTTAGCATTCCAGTCTCTGGAACCTGTGGCACAAACCTTCCCCTCTCCCCCAACTAGGAGGACTGAGTTGACCTGGGCAATGTGGCCTGAAGGTAGGGTTATGTACTCCAGCGCTGGGGGTGGGCTGGGGCTTCTGAGGACTGGATGTTGCTCCTTGTCTACCCGTCTTCCATATCCCAGATTCCCTGGATTGTGAAAGTCCAATTGACGATTGAGGGGACCATCTTGCACTTCATCAGCATCAATCATCATCCTATAGTCCCTTTCTTCTTCCATTAGTGCTGCTGCATCATTCTCCAGTCTCTCTTCCAACTTCTCTCTCAATCTTGCCAGTTGGTTTTCACCTACAACAGGCTGCATTTCACCATTCTCACCTTCTATTGCCAGCTCCATCCCTTCATCCACACCATACGCCACTGCCTGTCCTGCCACTCCCATCCCTTCTACCTCATCCTCTCTACCATTTTCCTGTCCTTCTGCAGGTGGTTCCCCATCCTGCTCAGCCCTTTGCTGCTGCCTCAATTGCTCCCTTTCCTCCTCATCCTCTTGGGTCTGTCTCGCCACAAGGTGCGCTTGGTTTGTCCAGCAAGTTATAAGTTGCTCCATCTCCAGGCAAGCAGTGGGCCAGTCAAAGTCCTCCCTCGGCCCCACTGGAAAGTCAGCCCGGGATCCAATTAATCTGCGTGCCCGGAACTGCCAAGCAGTGCTGTCCTTACCAACATTACCCAATGCATGACAGACCTGAAGAGATGAGGGAGAGGTATTCATGAAATTTTCCAATATCCAACAGAATGATAAAGTCATAAGGGTTCCATGTGAAGTTCCTGCCCACTAGTAGCACTACAAAGCAGTTTTTTTTTGAGTGGGTACTTGTTTGTTCCATGCGCACACACACAGGGCTACACAATACACATTGCAGCCAGTGGCTTCACACTATTGCTCTGATGTGCAGGTGGTGGTAATGCACCAAGAAACAGAAATGTGTCAACAAAGGTAGAGAAGAAGAACACTGCTTGCTAGTAAATATCACAAGATTTAAACTACTTTAAATACAAAACAATTTATTTTGTAAAAAATTTATGAAGGAAATACAGTAAATGCATTAGCCAGAACTCAGGTTTTGATGAGTAGCACTAAATGTAAACATTACTTTGTATATGTTTGTGTGTTTTAATAGTCCAGCAAAAATACCAAATTGCACTTGTTTGAGAGTCAAACAATATTTTGGTTGTATACAATGAAATGGGGGCAGATGTCACATAGTGATTTAGTTTAATCTAGTGATTAAGGCAAGTAAACAACAAAGATATTTTCAAATGAGAGATTGGCAAACATCATCTTCAAAACTAACCTTTGGCAGCACAGTGATGACACACTGAGCAGGAAGGTGAGAAGCGATATGGGTTACCAACTCCCATGGTAATGACAACAGGCCACTTGCCTCACCAGAAGGTGAGGGGCTAACATCTGCTGAGGACAGACAACCAGCAGGCAGAAGACTGGAAGAAGTATGAAGACAGACGTAACTTGATTATTAATTGCATAATTTGTCAGATAATTGAGAGTGTAAGAAAGTCTTACCCCTGCAGATCAGGCCTGGAAGCTTCACTACTCGGGGACTTGACGGTGTCAGGAGAGGGTCCACCCTGGTCACTTGATGCCCCTGTCTCCGGTTCAGTCCGGTTAACACCTACCTCTGACATCACTGTTTCTCCTCTCAGCACAGGACCACTAGCTAAGTCATGCACTGTAAGTCAACATTAAACTAGTCAACTCTACTCGGTATTATTGGCTGGATGTGTTTTAACACATAAATACAACCCACAATACAGTCGCAATGAAACCTGACAAAACATTAACGCTAGATCTCGAACCTTATAGATTCAGATAGCTTGTTACATGCTTTAGGTAAGCTCTAACTGGCTACTTTATACAATTAACATTAAATTGTACCGTTTATTTTCGAATCCACCAAATAACTGAAACGGGTATTAAATATAGCGTATATTTAAACTAAAAATAATAACAATGCGCCATAAAAACGACAAACATAACGTCAACTAAGCTGAGATAGCAGGTTAGCTTCAAGTTCCATATATTAATACCAAACCCAGGCTTTGAGTAAAAATAAAGTAGCTTACGGTGAAGTCCTCGCCCGCGTCAGTATAACAAAACAGTGACCACTGTCACAATGTAAACCATCAACGACCATTCTTCACTCGTTATCCATCAACACATCCCTGGCCGTTATCAAGCCAACCTACAAAACATTCCAAACAACTTCCGGGACATAAAGATGACGCCATCAAAGTGCGTAGCAACATCTCAACCGTTTCAAGATCTCAGCTGATTTTTGTACAATAAAGTTTAGAACTTGAGGTCACATTACATTTTAAAATGTAAGAACGCAATCTTACTGTAGATACAGTAATAGGATTTTTTTTTTTTTAAAGTGTGAAGTACCACATTTTCCTGTTCCATGTCCCGATGTTGCAGTAAAATACGTTTATGAACAAAACGACACCTTGGAAATAAAAGATGGCTGCCTTTTATTCTTACAAGTGAGAAAAACTGTAAAGTTAAAAGACCAATGCTCAAAACGTTCCTTTTATACTGGCCATTTTAGGACATCTACTCAGCTCCACATTCTCAGCCTTTAAAGGGTTTCATTCACTTTAGTTCATTTGCAAAATGATTACATGATGTGTAGCTCACCTGAAATATACTACCTGCAAGTGTGTTTTCAGCGTGAATCAAATAAACAAAGTTTGAGATTCAGGTCTCAAGGCAAAATTTCTCTGTACATATAGGACAAACATTTCAGCCGAGTCATAGCTTGATAGAAACATTTATTTTCCCCTATTAACAAAAGTTAAATAAAAAGGGATACATCAGATAATATCCCACCTGCGCCACAGTTCAAAAAAAAAAAAGTTCTACATCAAATTCAATTGCCAGCTGTGATATCAGATTAAAATAAAGTTATGAAGAGTTTTTCACATTCTTCCCTAAGGTATGCACTGAGCACAAGACTCCTTCAGTCCAACCACAACACCAAATTTGACATAATCAGATGGTCCGCTATAAAACAACGAAAACAAATAATTCTTTAAATTAAAAGAATAAAAACAAAACAAAAACAAAATAAACTTTTAAAGTCCAAAACAATTTGTGCACTGGAGCACAAAAAAACAAATAAAATAAACAAAATTCACATGTGCATTAAAAAAATAAAAATAAAAAAAGTGGACAACTTTAATTTATGTGTACCTTCTGTATATGGCTTAGTGTATCACAATGTGACTTTTGACCAATTCTTAGTGGCACACCTCTCAAGTGTACTTTTAACAGGTGCTTCACCAGTTGCTGCTACAGGCATATCTGTCCAGCCTGTGATCAGTAAGTGACCAACTCATATCACAATGCTCGCCTAACAAATTAAACTTGAAGATGATGTCACAAGGCTCAGAAAAGTGGTCGGCATCAACATCAGCAACATCTGTTCTCAAACCAAATTCAGATCACATTTGTTGAGTAAATATCACATTATGGCCTAAAATACATAATTCAAAATGTGAGCCAATATTCAGTAAAAATTTTTTTTTTTTTTTTTTTAAACGAGGCAGAAACAGAGTTTACACTTTAATATTAGTCTTCGCCTTATGTATCTGACTCATGTTCTTTAGAGGCCAATGGTGATTCTAGTAGCCACATCATCTCAGGCACTACTCAAACTATGCCAGGGACATAACTATAAGGCTGGTGCAAAGTTACATCTGAGCAGAACCTGTGTACGCACCAACATGCAAACAGCCATACGTGCTTCCATTACAACCGTCCACTGTGGACAATGAATCAAAGATAAAGCCCACCACTCTCTCACATAAGCTAACCAGTGTCAAGGGGAGAACCATTAAGACTCAGAGTCAGTGTATTCTCAGGCATATCCTACACAGTATCAGCGGGTCAATATATGGCAACAACATTCACTGGTTTGATCATAAGCTGGAGGAGTACCTTATTAGTCCAGCAGCGAGTTGCGTTGCTACTGACAAAGCTCTTATAAGGTAAATCCCTCAAAAGGGACCGGTTACAAAATGACAAAAAAATGAGCAGGACTCGCTGAAAAACATGCAATGTTTATGACAAGGAGAAGCCTTAATGGCTCAAACCGCTATAAAGTTTGATGAAAAAGACTGAGACATCGCCACACATATGGATTGACAGGTGCGCTGGGATATGGATCCAAAATACTGTAAATGTCTCCCCTCCTATTAAATCCTATTCAGTCTATTTTAGAAGGACTTACATTATAAAACTATGTTGAGGCCTCAAGTATTACCATCATTTAATCAGTATGCTTACTTTAGCAAGCTATTAAGAGTCCTAAAACCACTTAACAAAAACTGTTAAGGTCAGTATATTAGTCTTAATGTTTGAAATTCTTAAATTTCATACAAAAGTGCATTTATATCAGTACAAACCAATTTATTCTTGACGTCTTATTACTTGCATTAAGTCTGTTGTGTAAATATTCTAAAGATAAAGCAGCAGCAAAAATGATTCTCCACTTTGCTTACAATTTTTGAACTCTTGAGTGATTCAGATACAAGTTGATTTCTGTATTAATCTGCCTATAGTTGGTCTTCACACACAGCCTCCACTGACCTACAGAGAGACATTGATAAGACAAAAGGTACGAATGGGAGGGAAAAAAGCTGACAGCTTCAAATTACAGCTGCCTCCCCATACAACATTAATGTAATAAACCAAGTGAACAAGACAATCACTCAAATACGCTTCACTTAAGAGGTGATCATATGCCATGCAATAATGTGATACTGCGGTGATAAAACCTTAGAGGACAGACCTAGTGTATCCTTTATTGCATTGAATGAGGTAAAAAAACAAACAAAAAAAAACTATGATTACATGAGAACTCAGCAACTGAGGGAAAAGGAAGGAAATTAAATTACGCTAAATGTACACGTGAAAAGAGAATGACCCATGTATATGCACAAAGTTTGCCATAAAAGGTGCAAAAACCTTTTGTGCACATTTCCTGCATTGTTACATAGTAAAAGCATGTCGTGTTTAGCCTCTGGCACAAGCCGGTTTATCACAGCTACATGTGAGTCTTTCTACTGTCTATGTGCATTGTGGTGTTTGGGACTGTGGCACCCCATGTTGGTTCAGATAATTCCTTATTATGTACCTAACTGCCACCCCCCCTCCCCTCCTTTCCATCATCTATCTTAACAGAATAATCAAATTTGAGAAGGGGGAGGCCAAATCCAGCCCCTGTTCTGCCCTCACCTACCTAATAATCCCTGTGGCGCTGTTGGCAAATGTCACTTTTGAGCATATTGGATTCAGTGAGGCATTTAGTCTGAGAGGTATATGCATTTCCCTAGTTTACCCTACCACAACCCACCACCCTCCTCCCACCCTCCCTCCCTTACGGAGACACACGGGGTGCAGGGGAAAGAGGCCCATCCGCTGAGTGGAGGGTCAAGACCTTCCTCCAGCTCATGTTTCTCCCCCATGATATGGGCAGTGCAATGAGTTCCCCAGTAATCCTCCCATACATGAACCTAAGAGAAAAACAGAGAAAAGCATTTAAAATAAACGTATATTCAGCTATTAAATGTAGATCTGGTAGAAATGGCTTAAATGGGTGCAGCCATGTGGGGGAAACGTGCGATTCTGGATCAGAACAATCATTTGGGAACAAAATGTATCATTGCTTATCAATGAGCTGGGAGTTTCATCACTTCCAGAAGTGGTTCTTGGTGTAGGCAGAGATGTCTGCTGCACATACCTGACAGGACGGTGTCCTGTGTGGACCAGGGGAGGCTGGGTTAGACACCGTAGCAGGCCGACAGGCGCTCCTTCAACAGGGGAGGGAACTGCTCTGAGAACTGCTGCCAGTTCTCTTGTCCAACCTGGTCCTTGAAGCCATGCAGGATCTTGGATAAAAACAAACAAACAAACAAAAAAAACCCATCATGGATGCTGACTGAGGTCTCCACACAAACACAGTAAGTGGATTTGATGGTGATGATGTGTTGCTGACTAAAGAGACCATCTGTCTACACAGGATGAATTCACTGTTCCAAGATTTCCATTCACAGTAGGTCTGATATTTACCACTGATAATGGCCTGATTCTCCAAAAAATTCACTGTAATTTAATAGTGAATCTCCAATTTCAGAAAGGGTTAGAAGACAGTAGGCCTCTCATTTCGGATGTTCCGCACTTTTACATTAGACTCTTTGAATGACTGATCAATAATACGTGATGCCAAGTCATCACTTATGCCGTCTTGAATGTTATGTTCAGGAACAACCACCGTCCCTCCCAAGCAGCAAGGGCTACCACACTTCTCAGACGCAAATCATCCGCACCATGCAATCAGATTTCGAATGTCTGATAAGTAATCATCACAGAGCGTGGTGAGCCAGCACTGCACAAGGGGAAGAAACAGTGTCAGAAGCTAGTGTTCTGAAATAATGGTCTGTTCATAACTTTAATGTGTATGACAAGATGGGAATCAGTATTATACTTTTGATGAGGCACTCACCTTATAAAACATGTCTCTCAGGTCATCTTTGGGGCTAACCCATGAGGCCACAGCATCACAGAAGAAAATAAAGTCCTGGATAAAGACTGCATGTTACTTTATCACCCACTGAGATTAGAGGTCCCTTGTCTCTCTAACCCCCATAGCCCCAACAGCTTTAAAGCAGCTTACCTGCACCACGCCTGCAGGGTTTACACCAATCATTACACAGATTCCCCGGAAGGCCGAGTCCTTCTCCTCATTATCTCTGATATTCCTCAGTGATGTGCACCTGAAGAACAGGAAGACGAAACTCTACAGTGTTAATTTATTGGCTCAGTCTCTACACGATTTTAAATTATTTCCTTTATGAACTTCCAAAATGAAATTCTGTTTCACTGCTTTCTTTTCTCCTACCAAGAAAATAAATGTCTGCTCTTTTCTCAATTGACTAAGGTTTATTCTTACATACTGTCGTTCAAGAAGAAAGGCCTTTTGAGGGTTGGACCAGAAAATAAAAGGGAATGAATATATCTTATATTACAATATCCAGATGATAAGGTTCACACATGTGACTCACCATGGTCTAATGAAATGCTGCAGCTGTGGTGCCACTTCCTGGGGACAGACGTAGCCCAATCTACCAATCGTGATGGCTGTACTCAGAGAGGCAAAAAAAAAAAAAAAAAAAGAGCGACTATCAGATGCTACCCAACATTTCAAAGACATATCCCAACTTCTACTGTGCACAAACCTGTGTTTTCCAGCAAAGTCTTGGGGGTGTTGGGCCTATTGATGATCTCCACCAGGTGTGGCAGGACCATGCCCACATAAGGCTAAATCTCTGCCCCTAGAGAGAGAGAGAGAGAGAGAGAGACAGCAGAGAGCAAACATATCAAACATCTGAGAAAAACAGGCCACCTGCAGTATGGATGCATCATGCTTCACAGCATTTGGTATGGAAAGTTACTTTCAAACTATGACTGTCAATGTACATGTGTACAATGCTATGGCAGGCTATTAAAAAAAGTAAAAAAAAAAAAAAAACCTTAAAAAAAAAAAAAAAAAAAAAAAAACTTCACATACAAGTCTTAAACTTGATTTACGGTCCTATCTACATAGAGCCTACACCGTAGGCTATATTAAGTGGCCCACGCTACTGTGAGCATTTATAATTGTGCACTGGTGTGTCTGTGTCGGCCTGCAATTACACCACCTCATTGGCGGTGGGTTTCTATGCCACTGTGTTGCGCTTCTTCGCCACTTACTGACAATGGTGACTGAAACTGAGCGGGCCATATTGGAGTTAAAACTAATAGATGTTGAACAGCAGTTTCTTTTACTGAAGTTACTGCAACGCAGATAAGAGAGAAGACTTTGGAAGAGATGGTCGTACTGACCACTGAACCTACTGAGGCAGAATGAGGAGGATATTCCGTGCTTGTTCTGCCGCTGATGATGAAATATGAGGCAACCAATCACAGTTGTTGTTTGTGTCACTGAGACAGTTACATTTCTGGAGAGGTGCATGTCAGGCTACGGTGTAGGGGACGAAGCTACATGTTACCTACACCACCAATTTAACACAGACCCATAAATCAAGCTTTACAGTAAAGTAGTCCTGTGAAATTCTACACAATATTGTGTCTTATGCCAAAACTAAATTCTAACTGAAGTGTTATAATTCACTTAAGGAAAAAAGGTGCAAAAGAGACCTTCACATTAAGGTTGTTTCTCAGATGAAGTGTTGACTGTGGATGCTGCTGACCAGAAAAGTTTGAATTTCGCTCAAGACACAGAAGACTGTTTGTTTCCATCTCCAGTTGTTTAAACTGACTGAAACATATAGTATACGGCCAGCAGTGGTCAGAAGCTGATCATTACCAATAAAAGGTAAAGATCGGCTCTTTTGCAAGAGCATCATGAGACTAGTGAACTTTCAGTTGTCAGAATAAAAACAGGTGGATGCCCACTGATGCAAAATGGTCTAGAAACTATAGGTTTTGTGTGACATAGGTTCTGCTATCCAGTGATTGCTGAAGCAACACACAACAATGTAGCCTTTGGAGATTGTTTTAGCAGTTCTATAAGGAGGGGGAACTACAGTGGAGCTCAACATCTCTCAAAATCTCATTGATTTTGCTGGTGTCCCTACCCTACGCTCACCTGGGCAATCCCCTGTGTGCTGCGTGACACCTGTGCCTGTAAGAATATCATACACAGTGTCACTGGGCTGAGTGGATCACACATGGTGGCTTGCCAGACATGCATGAACACACATGCTCATATAATCCACAAACACAAAGGAGGTTTATTCTGATGTTGTACCATTTGATGGCAGAAGTGCTAAGACAGACAAATAGGGAACAGGACACTGTATGACCAACTTTCACAGTCAGGCAGTTTGCCAAAACCCTAAATGCACATAACGTGAAACAAAATGCATATAATATGAAAAACATTTGTATTTGAATACAGCTATGTACGACTACTCTGCCAGGAATGAACTGTTCTGTTAGGAGCCACGAACACCAGTTAATGGCAAAGACAAAGGCAGTGCACTTTACACACAAACCTGCACATTGGTTTGCATTTGCTTCAATTAATCACACACCAACTGCAAAACCTGCAGACTCAAGATGCCAAATGCCAAGTAGTGCCACCGACAGTATTATCAACATGAGGTTTGCAACATCTGGATGAAAAAAAATATATATTATTGGGACAAAAGCAGCATTTTGTGTCAGTGAGCCGAGTGTTTCATCTTATCTAGAGAATGGGCACGTTTTCAGGGAAGGAAACCATTTGTTAGAAAAAGTGCAACAATAAAGTACGACCTGCTTTCTTACCCATTTGCATTGAGATCTCCCCAATGGCCCATGTGGCATTGTTACACACCGAGATAAACTCTGGGTTCAGGTTGAGCCCCAGGATGGGCATGAACTCAGCTGGACATGGAACAAACTTGTTAAAACACAGTCACTTAGACATACACACACACACACACACCCTTTACAATCTCCTATATACACAACAGTCATATAAAGACATTAGCCCACCTAACTGGCTACAACAAGTATAACAATAATTCAGTACTGGGTGTTCCCTGATAGCCAGACAGTAGAGGACAGGTGATGTCATATTTACTTAGTGCTCTGACAAAGCACACTCACCAATGCAGGGTTTGACATGGGGGAAGCACGCCTTGGTTAGATCACCGAGCAGCGCAAAAGAGCTCTGTCTCACCTCAGGCATAGTATCCTGCAACACAACCAGACAACTTAGTGTTGCAGGGGAAACATGTCAGCGGTCAAAAGACACCGTCTTGAATGACATTTGGTTGCATTTTTTTTAAATCTAGAAAAATAATGAAAAACTGCTAAACACATCCCCTTATACCTGCATGCATTGAAAAAGCAGGGTCATGATGTTGGAGCGGGCCACTAGCTGTTCCACGTGGCCCCCCAAACCCTCAGCGAGACCGCTAAGCAGATCCAGGGCCACAATCATGAAATCCTTGTCTGGAGCCTCATATTGGTCTGGATGCTGGTTGTACATCTGTACAGACAGGGACAGACACATTTCAGTGTCTTCTTCACCTCTGGGAAAAAAGACCACTAACATAACATTTATTTTGTGTGCTTGTGTTTTAGAGATGTCATGAGAACCAAAAACCTCAGTATTAAACCGATACCAAAATTCTGAAGATAGCACTCTTACAGAAAGTACCACTGTAGCTGTCATAGGAACTGGAGGACATGTCGTCTCTGGCACTGATGAGGGCAGCATTAAAGGCAACGTTATTACAACGTGTAATTACGTCAGCAATTGTAGCAACAATTCATTGGTTTATTTTTTGCCATGACATCTTAAATAAAAAAAAGATTTTTAGTGGTATCTGTACAAAGTACCAAATTTCTAGTATCGCACCATCACTAGTGTGTTTGCATTCTCACCATGGCCTGAGCTAGTGTCTTCTGGACTAGTGTGACACAGCGCTGGTAGACAGGCTCACAGTAAGGCAGGAACCCACTCTGCAGGGCGGTGGCTACTGATGACAGACACTGTAAGAAACAGAGGGGAGTTGTAGAAAGAGACCTGCAGAGCTTGTTTTTCTAAGGCGTACGCTCAGTAAATGACATGAAAGTAGTCAAACGTCCAAATAAACAGTAGAGACTCAACCACAATTCTTTAGTCGGTTATCACAGTTTGACAGTTATTAGAGAAAAACATTAATTACAATGCAACACGGTCAGATTTGTCCTGCTGTAGTTTAAGTGATACTTTCAAAATGTACTTCTCACCTCTAGTAGTGGGAAGAGATCCTTATCTTCGTCCTTCAGTTCATTCCACTTGGCAATAAGAGGGGGCATCAACTTCTGAATGTACTCCTGAGAAACATACATTTGTTAGATATTTACACAGAATCTCCCCAAGTAACCTTTTAATTTGAATTTCACCTGGTATGTTCAGGTTAGGACTGGATTCTACATAAATCAAGCAAAGGTTTGTTACGGCTCTAAATGTATTATTTATTTTGACTTAGTAACTCTGTGAAACCAACATGGTCAAACATTTATGCTCATCAGGCTCCTGCAAGGCTCTGCCCTGGGGCTAAACTACATGTCAGTGGTGGTGGCAAAGTGTGTGAAGCACTTTCTTAGTATAATCTTGCATGTAGAAATTTTTTTCTTAAAAATCTAAATTTCACAGGCACTTACTGGCTGATTGAGGTGGTGGCCCACGGAGTCTGCTAAAGTGCCTATGGCATCGTAGAGGATGAGGAGATTCTTGTGCTGGTATTTTCCAAAGGCAAAGACCAGCGTGTCCAGGATAAAGCTCAGGTAGGGCACCAGCTCTGTGCATGCTTCCTCCTCCAAGGTGGCAAATGCACTATGAGAACACCAAGATGGAGGATATGTTAATATTTCATATTTATATAGTTCTTCCAGTCTAGTAATAATAAATGCATGTTGTGGATCAGAGATCAATATGGGAACAAAGTGTATCATTCTTCATCAATGAGCTGGGATTTTCATCATATCCACATATTGAGGAAAGGAAGAGTGTGAAGCTGCTCACCTGCAGGCGGCCTCCTGTACCCGCTTGTTGCTGTCCAGGATTCGTTTCAGAAGCTCTGTCATAAGTGGTTTGAGGTAGGAGTCAGGGGGCTGGGAGACCACCCAATGTGCATAACGACTCAGGGTCCAGCAGGCAATGGAACGCACCAAGGCCTTTTTGTCACACAGACACTGGATGAGGTGGGGAATCAGCTCTGGCAGGTATGGCACCATGCCCTGCATACAGCCTGAGGCACAAACAGATTCGATTTAACCACTTTCTACATGCTGGTAATATGCCTGATACTGTTGCTTTCCAAGTGTGACAAAATAAACATTTACTATTAGTCTCTACTGTAATATGTACAGATGTACTTTGTATACATCACCTTGCTGCAGCATGCTTCAGCTTTCATAGGACAGAACTGACTTTCATTGTATTTTACCTTGAGCACAGCACTGAGATGCAAACCTAACTGTACATGGGCATCCTCAACTAGATCACTTATTGCAATGGAGAACCCAAGTCTGCTTAGCATATAATATTATACAATGTAAAAACAGTGCTGAAGGAACAGTAACTGTAAAGACACCGGTATACAGAATCAGAACTGCTTCTCACAGGACTGTATAACTTCATTGGTTTGACTGCTGGAAGCCTTGAACTGCTCTTACATCTAATCCAATTATCCGTTTACCTGTGGCCTTAAAGATGACACCTGCATTGGTATGAACTTGTGTATACAGACTTTAGAAAAAGCAGTATTTGACTGAATTAATTCAATCAGGCTACATCCTATAAATAGATTTTAAGTGGGTTAGTGGAACACCACCAGCAACATCTATATCAAGCCTCTGGCTTCAGACAGCTAACCCTGTAGACCCCCCCATTAACAATTCTGTATGACTGTGTAACCGTTTTTTGAAAGCTCTATCCACCAAGTCTCACCTTCAGCTATGGCCCCCAACACCAGGATGCCAGACTCCTTGATGACCCAGTCAGGGTGGAAGAGCAAGTCCTTCAGCAGCGGCAGGAGGTGGGCCAGCAGCTCATCACGGAACACGTTGGCCAGCACGTCCAGGGCTGCAGCTGAACACTTTCCTACATCAAAGGAAAAAAAAAGCCCAATTACAGTGTTGTTTTACAGGTTACCCGACAGCAGAAGAGGTTTTAGTCTTCCAAGAAACTCTTGTCCCTGAGCTTTCACACTAGGTTTCCACTCCGGTCTTTCAGTACAAGTGTAAAAACTGGTACAAATCTGTTGTAAAATCCCAAAACCTGCTGAAATAGGCAAGAAAGACTGGAGATTGCACACAAGACTCAAATTCTGACAGTGAGAGCATCTCTGCAAGTGCATTTTTCCAACACGTACGCAGGTTCCAGTCAGACAGTGTGTCGTCATCATCGTCGTCATCATCTTCAGTGTCCTCACTCTCCTCACCCTCCCCTCCTTCATGCTGCAAGGTGACAGTCCGTGACTTGTGGAAACGGGGCTTGATGTCTTGTTCATTATCTGGTACCGCCTCGTCCTCCTCCACATCACCCTGGACAGACACACAGATTTTAGTGTTACATGTTTGATTTTAAAACAGTACCAGGTCTAGTTATAAATCACCACCACCCTCCTGTAATATGCTATAAGTTTGGATGCAGCTTGTCTGATCATTGCTTTGGATTTTAATTCCAGATTTATTTCTGGCACAGAGGACAGACCTCCAGTCACAATGTATATTTCTGCAAGAGAAGGTCTTATGAAGCAGTTCAACAAAGAGAAGGCTCACCTTTAACAGTATGATGTCTATCTCTGAGTACTTCATCCCATTTACCAAGATAGGTGTCAGTCTGTATTAAAGGGGAAAGAAGAAAAGACATCTTCGATAAAAAAAAGTAAACAAATCTCATAATAATTTGGTAAGAATGTGTCGTTAATTCTGCATCAAATAAGATCAAAGAACTGGGTGTTAATTAAACCCAGAAAAATAAATGCATAACCAAAGCTTGACTTGTAGTACTGCAACTTAACTTTTCACAAAATCAACATTATGATAGTTTGCATCAACACATGGAACATACAGTAATACATTAACAACAGTTAACATGTTACTCACTGCGCCAGGTGTCCAGACAGCATCTCCTTACAGATGGGTTGCTCTGCTAGAGTCAGCCAAAACTCACAGGCCTCCAGAGCCACATTCTCATCAGGATCCTGGGTCCGCTGTAGCATGTACTGCATGGCATGAGAAAGGGCAATGCTTAAGACTGGGGACACACACACACACACACACCACTAGTGTGCAACAGTTTAGCACAGAGCCTGAACACATCCAGATCAGAAACTATAGGAACTAGAGGTATCACTGTACATCAATGAGCTGGGTTTTTCATCATGTCCAGATGCAGCAGGGTGTAAAGATGGACTGATTAGGTTAAAGTCCAACAGAGCCACAACTGAATGGCCAGGTGTCTGACACTTACCTGGATGATGCTGTGCATGTGGGGGATGAGGCGGTCGACACGGACCTCCAGTAGCATGACCAGGGCTCGGCACACGTTCTTTCGAACCTCAGAGTCCTCGTCTGCTGCCAGCACAAACAGGCTCTAGCAAAAAGGGAAAAATAAGACAAGAACAATAAGGAAGGTGAAAAATCCAAACTGGGATGAACAGGAAAAGGTCAATTTTACACACAAGGGAACAAACAAAGTTCTCTAACCAGCTATTCAAACACAGTGACCTATTTCAGAATTCATTCACATTGCTTACCTCTATGAAGGTGTCAATGTTGTCCATTAGGGCCTGGGCTCTGCCAATGATGAACTGATTCACACAGGCTATGGCGTGGGACCTGCACAGACGAACCAGTGGAACACGTCAGCAGTCGAGTTGAGCGGAGAAGCGGGTTTATAGGGGAAAATGATTCAATTAAAATGACAGCTCCAAATGTGTATACATCAAATGGAATCTCCTGAAAATACTTCCCAAATTAGTCAAAGTGACAAACTGAGTAAAACCTCTCGATATACAGCTGAAAGCATGAAGGCAACAGCGACCACGCATCGTGGAAACAAACAAGCGCTCTACTTAAAACATCCCTGTAGCAAAGAGCTATAGGGACGTTACTACTAACAAAGCTGGTGCGACTCACCTGGTCCTCACACACAAAAATGAAATTTTATTTTAAAAGCTAGTACCTCACTTACTCTATGTTTATGTTAGAAACTAGTATTAATTAAAAGACTGATAACACTGAAGCTTCTTCCTGAGCCACACTGTTCCACAGGAAAAAAAATACTGTACTGGGAAGAACATTTCAAACTGAACTCTGAATATCTGGATCAGACAGTATGAATACAAACACCTTCATTGTCAGTCAGATGTTAGTGTGCATCACACCCAGATGCTAAGGACAAACAACTAAAAATGACTTGTTCTCTCCTGTACCTAATCTTGGGGCTGCAGTGCTTGAAGAACTGAAGGAACTTAGGTATCATAATGTTGAGGGGTCTGTTCAGAGCGTCGCTGTCCAGCAGCTCCGACGAGTCTTCGCAGATCTTCTGCAGTGCTCCAAACGAGCCCTGAGACACGGACATACACAGAGAGGCTGTCAAATCTAACGCAAACATACAGGGACACAGAGGAGAGAATGAGACTGCATCAGAAAATAAAACAGGAGCAGAGGTACTGAATGCACTGCACACATGACTTTTGGCTGAATGTTTATAGAAATCATTTTACTTTGTCACAGTGGCTATTTTTGCACACACAGATGCAACTAATAACATTTTAACATTATTTAAAAAGATGATTCCAGTGGCTCCTACACAAATTAGAGTCAAACTTTTACTTGAACTAATTATGTCTAAATTACATTCCGGTGTGCCCGTTTAGGCTCAGATGGGTAACGAGCACATCTAACAATATCACTGGTTTTACCGGTGCTTTTCCTTTGATATATCAAAAATTCTCAGCATAACTATGTCCACATTCACCCTGAGCAGAGATCTAATCAGCTTGAAAATGCCTGTCTGGGTGTGTAGAGCCACGTATTTATAGTATTAGATAGATAAATAAGGTCAGACTGGGTCAAGTGCAAACCTCGCAGGTGTTGTAGTCCTCTGAGTTAAGCAAGTTGCAGAGCTGGGGCAGCAGCTCAGGCCATGTCTGTAATTCTCCCTTGGAGGCAATAGTAGTGATCAGGATGCCTAGAAATAAGCACAGAAAATAAGACTTGAGATCAGTGATTTATAATTGATGGGACCATGAGCAGCTGCATTTGCAGTAGTCCTGGATCAGACAGTATGAATACAAAAACCTTCATGGGTACTCAGACATTTTTATACATCACTTCCAGGGGGATAACAGAAGGAAAGCAGGGGAGAAGGAGCATTTGGTGCATGGATGGAAGCCAGTCCACAGAAATAGTCATTGACAGGAGTCATGCCACATACCAATACAACGCCCAGAAAAGACACAAACTTACCAATGGTGGCACGGATGAGCGGCGAGGGGTCACCGATGTTACCGAGACATTCCTTCTTGATGAAGTCAGCAACAGCTGGGGGGAAGTTCTGGTAGTGGGCTTTAACATTGTTTTTCAGGATCAGACCGCTCAGGGAGCGAGTTGGCTCATCTGAGCATATGAAGGGAAAAGAGGAAAGGTAAAAGATGTTAGAGAGAAAACAGCCAGTCAACCAATGTACACTGGTAACCAGTATGGATATCCCATTCTAGTTGTTTCCTCATGTAGATACCAGCTCCAACACCTAAACTCAGAACAGCAAACAGTGGTCCTTTTAAAGTCAGTATGCCTTCTCATGTGGCACTGTCTGAAATCTTTTTTTTATAAGGTAATATAAGCCTCTAACTACATATCATAAAACACAGCATACAGCCATAAATAACATGACAGGTTATAACATGGCTGAGATGGGAAACATCTGGCGACTCACCTTCAGTTCTGAGCCGTGTGAGGACAAAGATGAGATAATTGTTGAAGTCAGGGAACTGGTTGAGTTGTTCAAGTTTCTAGCACTGCAGTCAAGGACCATTTCATTTGAAGCTTCCAAATTAGAAAACCAAACTTTGATCTCCATGCAAAGTATTATGTTTGACAATTTTACATGGGTAAAAAAAAAAAAAAAAAAGTTCCTCTACATGAAATCACTAGTGTTTTCCAAACATACAATTTGTTTTTACTATCATTTTCTGTATAAATAAAGTTAAAGCTATAAAAAAAATTTAATGTAAGCAATAAAAGTGCTTTTATTTTAAATTGTTTACTTTAGGAAGAACAAAATACTTAGCTTTGCAGTGAACTCAAGTATCGGTTATGAGAGCATATGAACAACTATGCACCCTCTTTCACTATGAACATCTACAGAAAAATCCACAACATATAGAAAACACTGAACCTCCAATTTAACTATGGCAGTGGTAACAACTACTTAACATGTTACCAATAGCATAAAAATCCCACATGCCAGAGCACCACAATTTAGCAAAATATCATTAACTAGCTTTACTATGTACATTTGAGGAACACAGTGTGGCAGGATACTTGTTGGACAGCTCTCTGTGTTACTGTATTGGGAGATTGTGAATCCTTGAGCAGCAGGAGGACCTGCTGAAGTCCCTGCTCATCTGGCTGCCACTCCATCCTTAAAAACATAAACACAGATGCAAATACATCATCTTGGCAGCTAGGTGTTTCTGATGCATTTCCGAAGGCCACGTGAACATGTACAGTCAGGAAAGCAAAAAACAAGAGAATTTAATGTATAAACCACAGTATGAAGCCTGACTGGATGCAGACTCATAGACTATAAAGATATCTAATGCAAAACAGACTTTTCAAATGATTCTTTAGAACCTCAGTACAACCAGACGTTAAACCCAGGTAGTGCATTTAACCATGCATCAGAGGAAGTTATTTACAGTCTAATTCTTTTTGTGACCAGTAACTGCAACATACTATAAAAATGCTCTTAATAGTGTGAAATGTTATATAAACCTCTGCAAACAACATGTATCAAAGAGTTGAGGAATGAGCAAAGAATATACGTGGGTAGCTAGAGGTGCACATGGGGAGTCACAAAAGTTGGGTAATATTGTAATCCGAGCACACCTCCCGCACAAAAACGAGGATATTAGGCAACAAGACCAGCTCAAATCTCTGTGAGCAGTCTTAACAGCTCCACGTTAATCCTACCCCACCCCCACGCCACCCGGTCCGCCAGTGAGAGTTACGGAAACGCCTTGTGTCTCAATACTTTTATTCAAAATACAAGTGTGCAACATATGGGCTCGATACTTACAACTATTCAGCTCTTGTCGTATTCATATGTTGTTGGTCACAGTGAGCGAGAAAGTGGTCAGGAAATAAGTTAACGCTAGCCACAGTAGGTAGCACTACCGCCTTGTCCGGCTCCAAGCCAACATCCCGTGTGGTTTAACAGTTACCTTGCCTACAGTTGACCGCAATTATTGGTTTAACCCTATTATAAGGACCACTATTAATGAACGTGTAGATTGTTTACGCCCTATGTGAGCTGCCTACACACAGCTGACTGACCTAATACTACCAAAGCTGCTCTCCAGCTCAGGCCTGGTCGGCAAGCAGTTCCCCGGATGAGATATCTGAATTTGCCCGGTATGAAAATAGGCGAATACCGCCATCTATTACCCAAGGAAAACTCTGTACTCAGTCATCCTTTCAGAGAAAACAAGTAATTTAGTGGTTGTGTAAGGCATCGCAGTTAACAGAACACTGGCAGCCCATAATAGGCACAAACTTGGCGAACACGTTTTGCAAGCTGGCGTTAGCCGCTAATCTGCCTGACTACAGTTTGACTTACAATGCTAATGCTAATACCCAGGCAAAGGCTATATAACGGACGCTTCGATTATCAATCAGAACACTTTAATCAACACGAATACCTAATCAATATAATGCAGGATTAAAATGTTTTACCAAATGCTAAGCTAAGTCAATTTGTACGTACAATATTGTCTTGAAAGTTGAATTATAAGTATAGGCCGCTCTTCTCCTCAGGTCCGTAGCTGTTCTTCTGGTTCAAATCATTTGAACACGCCGATTGGATTTGACCTACGCCGGCTTCCGTTCAACACACATTTGCAAACCACGTGAGGATATAGAAGTGTTGGGAGTTTTTCCTTACATTTCAAAAATAATGGTTAATAATAAAGTGAAACGGCTGAAATACCACCCGATAGATGTTATTTAACATTTACAGTCAATAGATCCAAAATAGCAAGAATTCTTGAAGCTTTATAGTTTTTATTTGAGCATTTCTGATTTATAGATGTACACATTCAAAAGCTTATCTGAGAATTAAAAAAAAGCCCAGTAACTGGGCATTCATTTAGTGTCACCTGAGTGTTATAAAAAAGTATGCTTTATGTATATGAATGTTTGGATTTCACTTTTAAATGGCTAGACCATAAACTGTACTTGCATTCCACAAAGAATTTTATAATGAGTTTACTGAAATGTGTATACATATAATCATGTATATTGGCAAGGGTCAACTGTCACTCCTGATTCTGCATTCATTATATTATGGTTCCAGTGTGGATCAACATGTGGATTATAAAAATGTGATTTACTGCATACCCAGTAAATGGTCAGTTTGTCTATGCATTTGTGTTATTTTTGCAGCAATACTATTCTTGGTTTATATTTTCAACCAGGCTCAACATAAGACAAAAAAGAGCTGCAATTGAAACAGAAAAGGCAATAATAACACCATCACCATACAGTGAAACAAACAATAGTCAAATTTAAACAAACCAAATACCAAACAATGCAAAAGGAGCAGGCCATGGTAAGTGGGGCTGTTTGACTTTGACTGGTCATTAGCTTCAGTAGGTAAATCTCTCCAGTGACAAATCTGCCCTCCATGGTCCCACAGAGAGAGGCTATAGCAGCCTTTCCAGAGAGTCATCATTTACAATTATACTTCCTTTTTGAAAAAAATTGTGCACATTTAAAAAATACAACACAGATGTGATACGAATGTCCATGATCCAACATGAAAGCATTAAAATTCCAGTACTTCCATAGCAGTAGGCATGAAGTGCTTTTCATAACCTAATGTGAACTCTTCTTCCTCTGCTGAGTTCCAGGAACTGCCCCCGTCCCCTTCATCCCCCTTGTCCCGTTCTTCATCAGAGTCAATCATTTTGCTGTACTCCTCTCTTCCATATTTTTGGTCTGTTCTGTCACACTCTTCTGTGACAACATCCTTCCTCGGATCATCCATCTGTAGACACCAATCTCCATTCATTGGCCTAGTTAATCCATCAGGGTCCGAGATTTCCTTCATGGAGGATTTGAAACCCCCGGGCTGGATTTCAACAACTTCCAGCTGAGAGATCTTGGGATGTGGCTCACAGATAGAAATGCTAATGCAAGTACAGGGTTCATTAAACTAAAAAGAGATCACACAGAAAACAATTTTAGTAAACCAGGGCCTGACTACATTTGTAAGTGTGTAGTTGTAAAGATAAGCAGATGCCAGTGCAATAGCAAAATAATTCCTATAATGATTGCATTACTCGGGATCAGCAGTCAGTGTAAACCCTGTTCTGAGACATTTCGGTTATTCTCTCACCTGGCGCCTCACCTGTTTGATGATGTGGCTGTTGCGGGGATCTGGCACTTTGTCATAAAAACACTGAGACGGATATTCTTTGTTTTTTCCTTGACTAAGACATAAGAGTAAAAAAGACATTCTTCACAATCTCACAAACGCTACACAGTCTTAAAGATTAATTTAAAATACATGTACATCGATGTATTGTTAGGTTTGATGTTCACACCAACATTTTTTTTAGAATATTGGCAAGAATTTAAATGTATGTCCTATTATGCTTATTATATTCGCACAGTTTTACCAGCCCAATACTGTATTGCTTATTTCATGTTATTACAGATTTGGTGAGAACAGAAATCACCAATTCTTACATAATAGTCAAAGTGTTTTCCAGTAAAACAGAAAACAACAGAGGTATTATGGATAAGCAAAGATCAGAGGCTAGAGATTTGAAAGTATAATAATATAGACAACTCATTTAAAATGATTATCTCACCTGAACAAAACACAAGAAGAGCATGTAATCAAAAGTACAAACGCTACAACCCCAGTAATCCATGGTATTGAGTGCACTGAGAAAAGAAAGAGAAAAATGGGGTCAGACACAGAAACCACTTGTGTCAATGTCAATATGATTAATACACATTTTAGAAATAAAACATTTTATCTTAAATCTCATCCTAATTGCAACATATTCAAAAAAAGTTTACATATGATACAATACCATAACTCTGGTCCTGCTCAGTTTTGAACCTTGTGGTGGTATTTGCTCCAGGCCCGGCCTTTGTCACAGCTTTTATCCACGCCTCATACTCTTGGCCTGGACTCAAATGCTTCAGCTCAAAAGTCATATTTTCCTGATGTGGTGATGCACTGACATTGTACACTAGGGCAGACAAATAGTTTGGAGTGAAGGGGAGTACTTATCATCAATATTTTACATAATGAGTCCACAACCATGCTAGCAACTCTTGTTGAGGTTGTACATTGACCCAACTGTATTTTGAGCAAAATGCTAATCTTAGCATGTTATCATGCTCACAAAGAAAATGCAAACACACTGATGTTGTGAACCCTTTGGAAAATTTGCATTTGTCTAAAGTTGTCTAACCATGTTGTCAAATTTTCACCTAAGTTCTAATAATAATGAACAAATAGGGATGAGACGATATGACATTTTCTCAGTACAATTCAATGCATGATATGTGTACGATTCGATTCAATCACGATACAATTAAAAATTCAATGACATTATATGACTAGATACAGAATACTTGTACTTTACTTCTGTTTTTTTGCCCGTTTCTAGCACTGGTTTGATTATGTAAAGAACAATTATATAGACTCGTATTCTGTTAGGTTATCTTATTTATAATTTGAAGTCGCTAGCGTATGGGGAGTACACAGTATATATCTCTATACAAAACAATACATATTGTGACATTTTTATATTGTGATATACTGAATGTTGATATATTGTCTCATCCTTATAAACCATCTGTTTTCTTTGATAGCACCCAAACTGTTGTATTGTTTTTGTGCATATTGAATATATCATTCAAACATTTTCAGTTTAGGTTGGAAAATGTATGTGAACAACAAAAGCTAACTGGAGCCAAGAGCTTTCAACCTGGAGTCCAATCATTGAAACAAGATTGTTTTTTGTTAGGTTGGAACTATTTTGGCTTAGTAAAAACACTCAAACATGTGCAGTTTGCTATTCACAAAAAGCAACTGCTGACATCAGCTATGTCTGACAAAAAGTGGCTGAGCTGGAGCAGTTCTGTAGGAAAGAATGGTCCAAAATTCCACCAGAACCTTATGCATGTCTGATTCACAGCTTCCAAAAACACTTGTTTGATGTTACTGCTGCAAAAAGAGGTTCAAACAGTTATAGCACTAGTTTATGGACTAACATGAAGATCCAGTCCAGAGGGTTCACATATTTTTCTTGCTAATGTATTTGTAAAGTCAGTGAGGTTAATCCCCTAGGAATTGTTAATGTCTGTCATGGCATCATGGCAATCCATCTGAAAGTTGTCGGTCTGGACAAAACTGGTGGACTGACTGACAGACTGACAAATATATCTGAACCATTACTATTACACAAAATCACTCGAGTCCCATATGTTTCATTTACAAATTACAACAACTGTATTATGTACTGTTACAGTGTGTACCGTTTTGCCCGTCTACTCCTATCTGGTAATACCGGATCACCCCATTCTGCTGGAAAAAGGGAACAGGCTCCCAAACCAGGATCACATGAGTGGCAGCAATAGACAACACCTTAAATGATGGCACTTTGGAGGGGGCTGGAGAGGGATTAAGAAATAGACATGGGGATTACAAGTTAATCTTCCATTTAATATGAGGAAAGATGAGAGGTCAAAAGTAGCTAAAGCAAAAGCTGCCCAAAATACTTACTTCCTTCAGCTGAATATCCAAAAACTGATGACACTCTTGACTTTTGGTGGACTATCCTGCTGTGTGATACTGTGAACAATGACACTTGGTACGGTGTGTACTTTTTAAATGGACCTGTAGATGGAGACACACACCAGAGTAAAATAGCCATTTTGAAACTAGCCTGCATAAGTTCAACTTCAAAATAAAACCCATTTGCAATGAAGATTTGAGATTTATATAAACTCATTTAGCAAGATGAAAATGTAGTAAATTTTTCTGTTTACCTCCATTACTGCTATAAGAGTATCCAAATCAAACAGACCTTTAAAAAATACAGATGTTTGGCTTTTGTTGACTTTGACCCAGTCAAATCCTTGGCCTGGAAGAAGACATTCTGCTTGTTTGTATTGCACTACATATTCATCCAGGTTGTCAGAGAGCAGAGAGGGCAGATCCCAGGACACAGTGAGGTTCTCCTCATTCATAGTGATATCAAAAGCGTGTTTATTTTTGTCTTTACCTTAGAAGAAGACAAATTATTTGTTAGACCTGCTGAGCCATGGGAACTGGAGAAATACAGATAAAACAAATGTAAAATTATTGAACTCTTTTTTTAAGAGATATCAGCATCTTTCAAACTGTGACCATGACATTGACTAAAAATTTATTTACCAGACAATAAAGTGCTGAATTGTTAAACATCACAGCACGAGGTCTAGGGCCATACAGTGTCTTATTTGACCACTAAGAATACTTTAAAACAGTTTACACTACTATGGATTGACCGACAGGTGACTGGTCCGTGACAGTGAATATGAATAAAATATTTATTATGAATGCAATGGAGCATGATGTGGAACTTTGACTTTGTGAATTACTCTGTGAACAAAAGCACAAGTCAAAGTGAAAACTGACACACCCCTTATTTTAAGGGGTTTGTTCTAGTTCAGCCAGTTAGGAGGCTACTTATTTTTGTCAATATGCCAAGATACAAAGCTTTCCTTAAGTTTAGAATAGATTGGACAACTGATACCTGGCATAGCTACATATGTAGGCACTGTGGCACCATGAGCATTGTATGCTGACGCAGTGACTGACGATACATCCTTGAGAGAGGAGTTGAGGTAGCATTGCATCTCATCACACACCAGCTGACTGCTCGGTTCATCTACGGACACATTCACCAGCTTTGCTGTGCCGTTATTGTAAGACAGCCTGACTTCATATACCTGAATGAGGCCACATGCCTGCGATATAGGAAGTTTCTGGATGGAATGAAAGTAACAAGAGAACAGCAAGAGTGAGTGATACTCTAGTCCATTATTCTAATCAGAGAATAAAGACTGTGGGTCATTTTTAACCTACCTTCCAAATCAGAACACAGTCAGTGCTTGTCAGGGATATCCCACAGTCCCTCCATATATCCAGCTTTCCAATGGGGGCTAAACAAGAGGGGTAAAGGAGAGAGAACCAAGGTGTGCAAAATCAGAACCTAGTGGAGGTTTGTGGAACTTTGTGGTTCATAGTTTTAGCAGAAAAAAATGTCTGTTTTGTCTGGGATCACACTGTTGGGCCAAACTATATAGAACTGTGTCTTTTTGATTTAGCTTTGTATAATTGCTATACTGTACATATTAAAACTAAAATTATAAAGTAAAATGACATTGTGATCATGTTTACATTTGTGACATTTACTTCAAAATCTCCAAAATTACTAATTTTCCCTTTCTTGCCAAGATTTAGTTTAGAAGATTATCTGTCATTTATATACAGTGGGTACGGAAAGTATTCAGACCCCCTTAAATTTTTCACTCTTTGTTATATTGCAGCCATATGCTAAAATCATTTAAGTTCATTTTTTTCCTCATTAATGTACACACAGCACCCCATATTGACAGAAAAACACAGAATTTTTGACATTTTTGCAGATTTATTAAAAAAGAAAAACTGAAATATCACATGGTCATAAGTATTCAGACCCTTTGCTCAGTATTTAGTAGAAGCACCCCTTTGAGCTAATACAGCCATGAGTCTTTTTGGGAATGATGCAACAAGTTCACACCTGCATTTGGGGATCCTCTGCCATTCCTCCTTGCAGATCCTCTCCAGTGCTGTCAGGTTGGATGGTAAACGTTGGTGGACAGCCATTTTCAGGTCTCTCCAGAGATGCTCAATTGGGTTTAAGTCAGGGCTCTGGCGGGACCATTCAAGAACAGTCACAGAGTTGTTGTGAAGCCACTCCTTCGTTATTTTAGCTGCGTGCTTAGGGTCATTGTCTTGTTGGAAGGTGAACCTTCAGCCCAGTCTGAGGTCCTGAGCACTCTGGAGAAGGTTTTCGTCCAGGATATCCCTGTACTTGGCCGCATTCATCCTTCCCTCGATTGCATTAATGAATTGATTGAATTAAGGCCAAAAAGTTCTATCTTGGTCTCATCAGACCAGAGAATCTTGTTTCTCACCATCTTGGAGTCCTTCAGGTGTTTTTGAGCAAACTCCATGCAGGCTTTCATGTGTCTTGCACTGAGGAGAGGCTTCC